ATATAGCAATAGTCAAAAAGGTAAAAAGCATTCAAATAGAGAAAAGGTGATGTCCACAAAATCAGCAAATAACCCAAATCCAAGTTAGGAGACAAATCAGTCCCAAAATCCAAGAAGCAAATCCATAGGAAGAAAGTCTTTCTTTTCCAAAGGTGGCAAATGCAAAAGTCCCTTGAAGAAACAGGAGCCAACTTGAATCAAATAATCTAAATGCAGTAGCTTGAAATCACAAACACCAGCTTACAAAAATCTCAGCATGTGCATGAATACAAAGCAAGATTATACATGATTCCCCGCATGAACAAGCAAGCATGAAGCAGGCATGAAAACCAAATGTTGGACTTACTGAAGAGTATAGACTCACAGGCCCTATATTTATTCAGAAAGCCATGGCAAAAGCATTCCCTTTCCCTTGGGAAACCTCTCCCTGACCCCCTGATTCTCTTAATCTTTCAGACCGTCTTCTGCCCCCTTCCAGGTATGATGATGATTGATTTGACTTCTCCTATCAAAGACTGGACTACTGCAATGCACTCTACGTGGGGCTGCCCTTGAAAACGGCCCAGAAATTTTAGATGAGCGGCAGCCAGGTTGTTAACTTGTGCTCCTTACAGGGAGAGGTCATCCCTCCTGTTCAAGGAGCTCCACTGACTGCCATTCATCTACCAGACCCAATTCAAGGTGCAGGTTCTTACCTACAAAGCCCTGAACGGTTTGGGACCCGCCTACCTGTGTGACCGCATCTCTGTATACGAACCCACACGATCTCTTCGTTCATCTGGAGAGGCCCTGCTCTCGATCCCACCAGCATCGCAGGCACGATTGGTGGGGATGAGAGAGAGGGCCTTTTCGGTAGTGGCCCCTCAACTCTGGAACTCACTCCCTAAGGACATCAGGCAGGCCTCAACCCTGGGGTCTTCAGGAGGAGCTTGAAGATGTGGTTGTGCGAGTGTGCCTTCCCGGAATAATGATCCCATAGCACTTTGTCCCTCCAAAGCACTTTATACTTTTAGGTCTGCTCGTATGTCTTCCACAAACGCCACTATCGCCTTTTCGTCCATGCCTCAGCACTTTTCCAATTTTAATTTTTACATTTGGCCTTCCCACAATTTTTAATTGTATGTTGTCTTATTGATAATGTTATATGTTTATCGTTTATGTTTTATTTTAATTGCTTGTATTGTTGTATTATTGCCTGCATTGTTGTGTTTGGGCTTGGCCTCATGTAAGCCGCACCGAGTCCCTTGGGGAGATGGTATCAGGGTACTAATAAAGTGTTGTTGTTGTTGTTGTTATTATTATTAAGAGTGTCTGGTCGTCCCTCAGCTTGCCAATTAGTACATTCCTTTCACTATCACTATCTGGCCTTGGCCGTTCAACCTTTTCCTCGGCCCCTTTTTCTGTTAGCATCGAAGCATCTTTGCCTTGGGAACCAACGATCCCAGAATCCTCTGGTTCACTCTGGCTAGAACCAGATACTGTGTCAAAGAAGAGTTCAGATTCAGAGCCTCAAGAGAAACAATGTTTGTTCATCTTGTCAGGCAG